TTACGACAGAAGAGCGACGATCTTATCCGGCTCGAGCATTGAGTAGTTTAATGGCAATAATTCAAATGGATCACATACTGCAATATGGAACCTTTATCTCTGACTTTTCTATGAAAGCACATATCTGCATTGGAAAACCATTTGCATGCATGTTGTTTCAAAAATGGGCCAGAAATAGTGATTTCTTATTGCAAAATGTAATACAAATGATGTCTGCAGTATAATTTTAACTTCCATTCGATTTGGATTAAATACACCGTATGTTTGGTTCAAGAGAAATTGATTCCCAAACTTCCCGTTGCGTGAATTGTTTTTTACGTAAAAGTTCAACGAGATAGCTCGTAACTTTTTTCTAACCCAGCATTGCCGAGGCGGGAATTGGGACTATCGTATCAAGCATGTTTTAAGCTGTATTTCTGGTTAAACGATAAAATATCGCAATGTCGCACGGATGAATATTCCATTTAGGCTTTTTTTAGTTTTAATTTTTCAGTGTTCATAATGATTTTCCCTATCTATGACAGTCCACGAAAAAATGAGCTCATAGCTCCCGGAGTCAGAATGTTCAACGAAGGCAGCGGTTTCTGTCGTGTTGGACGGAACATTTGAATGAGATGAAATATTTGACTTATTTTTAAGGTGGTCCTCTCAAAGTTCCAGAAAAATAAAAATTTTAGGAGCCCTCCGACGAGCAAACGCAAAGAGAGTGAAACTTTAACACGTCAGTCGGTCACTGAAGCCGCCAGCTGAAAAATTGAGCGAAACCCGTTGAGCTTTTCCGCGGGAAAATGGCGCATCAAATATTTAAATCTTCGCCGGAATAATTGAAAAAGACCGGTGAGCTTGACGTGAATTTTTAAATTCTCGCGAAGCTCCCCTCTGCGTGTTTTACAGATCGCGAAGCTCAATTTTCCCGTCTGTTTTGGAAGGCAAGACGACTGAGTCTCCACTCACACCAATACATATCAGCTTTAGGCTGCTTCACGAAAACGCATGATTGAGCATCAACAGAATCCACTGAATTATTCTGTTCGATGGAATGATTTGCTCCGCCCCATTCGCCAATCCTTTGATTTCTTCTCTCGGAAACTCGAGTAAATAGATGAGGAGAGAAAGGAGCGAGAATGGGGAGAGGTAATAGACTGACTTAGGAGTTACGTTATTCTTTCGATATTCGATATAATCGATCATATTCGATACATCAAACAAGTGAGATGTGCGATATCGATTGGTTCAAAACTTAAACGTATAGCCTCAAAAGTCAATTGAGTAATCTGACGGAACGGGTTTTTTGTGATAGATTTTTAATTCGCGTGAGTACTTACTATTTGGCCAAGAATAGTGAAATGGCCACGAAATTTCTCATTATCAGCTTTTCTAACCAATATCTTAATTTTGGTTTGATATTATGTTCTATTATTTAGAACCAAACGATACATCGAACCACTATTGAATACGATCCATTCTTTCGATATTCGATAAAATTGATTCAGGTACGATCATTCCAAAGACACAAACACGGAGCGCAAGAGGGAAAAAATGAAGCCCTTTTCTCCGATTGGCTAGAAGATTGGCGGCAAAATCGGGGCAAGTTTGAAATTCAAATAAAGAGCGTTGATGGAATAACATTGCGGAAACAAAGTACTCCAGGTTTTTATTAGCACAAATTCACTTACTCGCAAACATTTTTATAATCTCCAGATTATTTTCGCCCGATTTATCTGATTTGGGAGTAACGATCATCAAGGACTGTAACGGCCTGTTTGAACAGGCGGGACCACCATGAGCAAAAGAAAAACTAACTTTATCTGAGATCCTTGCTTGTTACCGAGCCACAGTAGATTTATTATAAAAGTCATCCTCCCAACTTTATTAATTTGCTCGTTTTAGGCACTTAAAACAAGTTTATAGCAAGAAATGTGCAAAAATCAAGAAGACAAGTTCAAATCAAATCTCCGTTTGCGGCCATGGATTCCCGCGCTCATTTACACATTCGAGCGCCAGGGCGGCTTCACTTCTCCTTCGTGTTATTGTGCGAAAGCTCCGTCTGAAAAAATGACTTGTTTTAAATTTACTAGGGGGCCCTGCCCCCTGACCGCTACGCGGCCCGACCCCCGGGCGGGCGCCTCACGCCCTCAGGCCCGCTTCGCGGGCCCTATACGTATATGTATACGCAAAAATGTTCTTCCATTTTAATACACCATTTTGTGTTCGAGCTGCATCGATTTCAAAATTTTGGACGTAACACTCATATTTGTAAATGATGAGGAATAGCTGGATGTACATAATTTCACAGTCCACTTACTGGAGAAATTTCCATTTATTATGTTATTTTTAAATACTTAATTTAAAAAAAAAAAAAAAAAAAAAAAAAAAAAAAATCGGATTTCGACCGTTAAGAGTTAGGTAATAATATTTGGTCCGTCCCGACGCGACGCAGCGCCTGCCTTCTCACTTTGTATCTGCTGTTTATCTGCTGTAAATATTAATAGAAATTCAGCAATCAAGTGAATTGACCAATGCCACAGATCGAAGCCGGAAGAATGAGGAAAAATTGAGTAAAAACCTTATACCTTGAACCTTGACCTTGAACCTTGAACCCTGAGCCCTGATGCACCGTTCCTCAACTCTTCGAATGAAGAGCCCTTCACGAGCTTTTCCATTGTTTTATTGTTTATTCGAGTCACTCAGGTAGAATCCCACACCTTGACGTTTCTAGCGGAAACGACATATCTCTCACGCTATTAACATGCCCTTCACGAGCTTTTCAATTGTTTTATTGTTTATTCGAGTCACTCAGGTAGAATCCCACACCTTGACGTTTCTAGCGGAAACGACATATCTCTCACGCTATTAACATTGGACTTAAGTGACATGAGCTTTAAAAGATCTACACCATTAAAAGTTCAGGGTTTCATAATTTTTTGCACATCTACATCTACTACAGATGACATACACGTAAAGATCATCCTTATCGGTCCGGCAGTTCGTCAGAAATAGTGCTTCCAAGATTTTGCTTGTAGCTGTATAATATAGATAATAGGCATGATCCTGCGATAATCGCCACTTGCCCATTAAGATGTTAAAATCCGACAGTATCCAAGCCCGCATTTAAAATATATGGGGACGGAGAAACATGAGAAAATTCAGAAAAGGATTCTCCTGAGGATGATTGAACATTTCATTGCTGTCCTTCTTATATCGATTTGACCGTTGATGCTCCGTTCATATTTACCAATTTTAAGTTTTTATGATATTTATTATTTAATGTGCTTGGTGCTGGATGCCTTGACAGGCAGAAGAATGCTCTAGTCAATTGTAGAAAAAAAGAAGAAAAATTCAGAAAATTTGGCCTCCATGCTCGCTTTGTCGTTTGTCTGTTTGTTCTGCTTCACTGAAAGCAAATCAGTGCCGTTCAAACGCTCGGATGATGTAATCAATTCTCATTCGGTACCGTTTAACTGTTCAAAAGAATAAGAGGAATCCCCGGCACTGAACAATGGAGTCCCAAGTTTATCCCAGCTCTTGTGCGATCCATAGGTACTCAACAAGGAGGTACTTACATACGCTGATAGTGACAGTGTTCACCAGAATGGACAGTCGAATAAAGCTTTAGCTCGTGCATGAAAAAAACATTTCTGCTGTCAAGAATTTTCCGGAGAAGATGACGAAAAAGTAAAAAAAAAACACTAAGCGATGAAAATGTAGTCCATTAAATAGAAATTACCAAATGCTTCCCATGTTCGCTAACGGACCACTAAACACGGCAAGAACTCAGACACTGAATATGGATTGAGTTTACTAGAAAGAATCCGATATTTTAACGAACAAGTGATGAGATGTGGTGATAGTTATTTCTTAAAATAACTTCATAAGCATCTCTAGGCGGTTAGTGTTTTCTCTCTCTCTCTCTCTCCCTCCCTCTCTCCCTCCCCCTCTCCCCTTCTCCCTCTCTCTCTCCCTCTCTTTAGATTTTTCAGTGTTCAGCAAAGGGAGCCCATTTTTAAAAGGAATGAAAAAAAAAATTTTGCAGCTTTGATCCTTTTACTTAAAAATGAGCAAATAAAGCATTTGCAATGAATTAATGTTACAATTTTGGAACATAGCCTTTTCTCCATATTGAAGATAAGAATGTACCTTCTTCACTCTACAACAAGCAGAACCTTTGTTATTAAAAAAAAAAAAAAAAAAAAAAAAAAAAAAAAAAAAATTACTCCTGCCAAACAATCCACACCCTTTTCTTTTGAAACTTTCATGTATTCTACAATAGATACATTGGAATTTGTCAAATTCCATACGTGGACTATAGTTCCAAATCTAGTCCAAGTGTGAAATTATAATATAATTGAAATTAGGAAATGAAGAACTACAATTTCCGTTTCATTTTAGAAACTACTTTCGTACCGTTAGTTTCCCCACGTAGATAGGTATTTCATATGTTTGAGCCAGAAATTTTAGCTCCTTATTGCAAAATGCAGTTCTCTTTTAATGTAAGATTTGTCTTTGTAATGTTTATTGTAATGTCTTTTACGCCAGGTTGCGATCAGAACCGTTTGAAAGTTGCATCAGTCGTACGCGCATTTTCAAAGTCCGACTTGACAGCAGAATTTCTTGATTTTTTCACTAAATTTTAATAGTTGGAACAACTTTCCGACTTTCCCAGGTTTTTCATTACTTTCCGCTACATCTGCCTACAATAAGAAAAATGTACCGGTTAGTAACACCCGCGAAAGTATTCTCGTTTGGACATCCGGACTTCTCTTAAAATTGGCAGGACTTCTCTTTGAAATAACAATAAAACCGTTTGAAACAAGGATTCCTCCCGTTGACACAACGAGAATTATCGTTCAGGAATTGTTAGTTGTAATATCTATTGATCCAACAGAGTAATTTTTTCCGGGTGTAACTTTTTATACTCCTTCATTTGCGAGATCACATTTGCGATATCCCTAAAAAGAGTCGAATGATGAAAAAAATTGCTACGATGATCGGTAACTTACCGCGTTGCTGTGAGTTTGGTCCGTTTTAAGTTCTTTGTGGTTGGAAAACTGTACGTAGACGACACGCCCACGAAGCTGAGCTGTACAGGTAGTAAAGTACTGAACCATGGTGGTGGCAGCATTCTCATCCCCCATCTCCAAGAAAGCCTGCAACAAACCGAGGAAACAATCAGCTTATTCCTAGACAAGCTACCGTACCAAAATCCATGTTTGGATACTTGTGTGCGTTTCCTGTCATTGAAAATTCGAATTAGGACTTTTCCATTCAACTTGAGAAAAATCAACCCCCATAAAAATGTTCCTCTTGAACTAAGGTCTATTAGGACTAAATTACTGGAAAGGAACCAATTCACATTTTGGAAAACGATTTATTGAGGGGCCGTTTATAAGATTACGTAACACTGAATTTTCTGATATCTCGACCACCCTCGTCTCCCCTCGTAACGCTATTGTAACGTAGGTTCCTACCCTTAAACAAGTAACAATAAAATTGCGTAACTCTCTCCTCAACCCCCCTCCACCCCAGAACGTTACATGTTTTATGAACAGTTTCTTATAGGAGTAGTTTTGGGCTTAACTAGCCACACATTTTCTCCAATCCACAAATCGAACTGGAGAAAACATATTTTGAACGCGAAAACACGAATTGAACTTTATCTCAAACATTGAGCCCTCTGCGGGGTTTTAACTACAGTCCATTTTCACCCGATGAGACCTTTATTTTACTGTGAACAATTTTCTGTACCAATAACATACGATTACAACATTTATAACAATATTTAGCATATGCCTTGACTGCTCCGAGTGGAGGGTGCGTTTTTTTCACAGGCTATCACCAATCGTTGAGTTAAGCGCTCTAGATTTTTAGCCGATAAATTCAACCGCTTTCACGTGTTCCGCGAAACATGAAATTCGGAATATTTGCAAATATGAAATGAGATCCCGGTAAAATGATGCGGACGAAACTCGACGCGGCCGTGCTGCGCTGCATCTAGGCTTTTCATTTTTTTCTTCATTTTTTCCGTGCGGCGGAGCGGATAATTTTTGGCCGAGGGGGCCTCTGCGTTTTCATTCCCACCACCCGATTTGTTTGCCCCCTTCCCCCTCCCCCTCTCAGCCCCAGCCCTTGCTCAGTGCTCTTGGCTCCTCTGCGAATAGCACGACATACCTGATGTGGAACCGTAAGAGCAAAAACGACGGATTCGCGATTGATTTCGGACAGGACAACCGCTGTTTTGGCATACGGGATTTTCCTCGTTTTATTTACCTCGTTATGCAATTGGTCAGTTGGAACTTCCATCCGTCCCCGAAGGTTTATTTTTATTCCCTCCTTTTGAAGTCGTGTTTTCACTAGGCAAGGACTCGCTCAGCTGGTACTCACATGGGTTGCCGCGTCACGTGATATGCAACCTTTATACGGAGTCAAGTGGGGAAAATGCTGATTTTCGGTGCGACCTGGTAATCCCAATGAGCCAGTTCGGCTGAATTTTTTTTATTACATATTATGAAAGTCCTTGGTGAAATGAGTATACAGAATTTTTTTCAGATTTTTTTGAGCCCTCTGGCCTGAGAAATCTTACTTCAAAAACGCCAAAAATTGAAGGTCTCTGAAACGCTGTTTGAATCGCGCGGGCTGAGAGCTGACGTCACACTTTAGGTGGTGACGACCCTTGGTTTATTCCGAGTTAGTCCGAACAATATGGCTGCTGCCCGGATTGTTTATTTAGCGTAAGTTTCTATCTGTATATTGTGATTTAGTGGTAAAATTTGACGAGAAATTTGTTGAAACATTTGGTTTCGTCCGAAATTAACTCTTTCTTGATGAAAAAAGGCGTTAAAGTTCGCGAAATTTATTCACCGGGCGACCGCGAGTGAGCATCGGCTATCGGAGTAGCCTATCGAAGGTACTGCTAGTAGAAAATATGCGATAATACCTATCTAACCTACATTACCGGTGTATGCACTAGAGTGGTAACGCATAAAAAACAGGCACGAACAAACACTGAAGGAAAGGGCAGGAGTGGATTAAGTTACTGTAGTCTCTAATTTACTTCTGAACTGTTAATTTGAAGAACCATAAGACACATCTTTGATGTGTAATCACTTGGTACGGAGCAGAGGAACCTTGAACTGTAATCATATCGGTAAAGTTTGAGGGCTCAACAGGCTTTAATGCTAAAAAAAGGTGAACTTCAAACTCATGTATGAATTCAAAACCACATACTTCAGATAAGGAAACTACAAAACACTTGATTTGAGGCGAAAATGAAAAGCGAATGATCCAAGAAAAGAATGTCTGGGTGTGAACTTATGAGAACTGACTTTCTGTTTCAGAATGCTCTGAATACACATCACAATGAGCCGATAAACTCTAGCTCCAGGTTGTAAAATACGATAAAACTGATTGTCAGATGCTTTGTAGAAGTCAGAAATGGTTTAAAGGTAAAGAAAATTAAAAGATTCCGAGTTGTTTGGATCCTTCCTGTTATCAATCTTCGTCTGTTTACGGGCCCGTCGTTTCCGATAGCCGATGCTCACTCGCGGTCGCCCGGTGAATAAATTTCGCGAACTTTAACGCCTTTTTTCATCAAGAAAGAGTTAATTTCGGACGAAACCAAATGTTTCAACAAATTTCTCGTCAAATTTTACCACTTAATCACAATATACAGATAGAAACTTTCGCTAAATAAACAAACCGGGCAGCAGCCATATTGTTCGGACTAACTCGGAATAAACCAAGGGTGGTCACCTAAAGTGTGACGTCAAAAATCGGCGTTCGCGCCACGGCCCGGATTCAAATAACGTTTTTGAGGGGCACGATTTTAAAATCGCATTTTCTCCCCTTAGCAATTTTTTTCAAAACTTTTTATTGTGCTCATCGTTTTTCTGGGGAAATTTTACATATAGTGCAATAGCTTTTAAGCCAATCCCTCACCAGCCGAACTGCCTCATTCGCACACATATGAAAATGAGAATGGAAGAAAGTATCGAAGGGGCTTACAAATCATACAGGGCTTAAAAGTGTTTTTAGTTCCATATGTTACTCGGGCGATATCAGAAAAGTATTCAATCTTTGAATCGGACAGTATAGCAGCGAAGAAAAGCTATGATCTATTGAACACGAGCTAAAATCTTTCTTTGTTCGAGTGGTATAGTTTTTTACAAAAATTTTGAAATTTATGAGGTGCACAGTAAGAACAAGTAATCAAAATCTTTATATAGGAAGTAAAAAACGAAGTAACACAAGTTGTTGGTTGATTTTTGTGTGTTAATTTTCCCTGTGTCAATCTTTGTGTTGAAAATCTGCGACCAGCGGTGAAAATTAGTAAAGTTACCAGCCTCCAGAACCTGAATCGCATCGTTGCCATTTCAATACGCTAGCCAGTTGTAAATCACGACCTCTAAGAATAGAGGGTAAAACAGAAGTACATAAGTTCGGCAGGACACTTTCTTCGTGATCCGATGTCTCAGAGTAGCTTACAGTTAAGGTCGATTTAACACAAAATTGTGCTGAACAACCAAGTCCTTTAGGTTGACCTAACGCAAAAGAATGTAACACGAAGTAACACTGAGTGTCATCAAACACGGACATGTTTAACTGCGTGGGCACAATTTTATGTTTTTAATAAATATTTTAATTGAACTATGTTAAGCAGAAAGGAATGAGGCCACACCAGCTATTGCCAACTTTATTTGAGCAATTTGATTTTTGAATTCGTTTGAAAAACAGCTGTGCTGATTTTTGTGCAAATTTCAGTGAATCTTGCACATAGAACAAAGCAAATTCCTTAAAAGTTCCAAAGGAATCCGCACAAACGTTCTCTCGAGCAAAATTTAATTGTCCGGTTGAATTTGGCAAAAGCTGGTGTGGCTTGATTCCCTTCTGCTTAACGCGTCCAAATTTAATGTATTTTTAATTATTTAGAGCAATAGCTGCGGGAAATGGGGCATTATGCAGAAGACACCCATCATAGATTTCTGATTCTCGAGAGCTTTTCAAAACATATCCACCTTCAAATTGAAACAATTTTTTTTTTTTTTTTTTTTTTTTTTTTTTTTTTTTTTTTTCCCCCAAAAAAAAATGAGAGTTTATCAAAACGAAACAGCGTTTGATTGGAATATCACCACCAACATCCTGCATGCACCGCAAAAAAATGAAGTTGATTTAACACTCTAGGCATCTGGGTGTAAAAAAAGTGTGCGTGAACTTAGGGAATACTGAATTCTCCACTATACCCGTTACTTTAGCAATGCCAAGATATAAAACTAACTGCCGTGGCAGGTAATTCAGCATTCATAAGTTCTCGCACACTTTTTTTTTACATCCAGAATGTTAAATCAACTTCACCTCTTTTTCGATGTACTTACCAAATTAATTATTCACCTTGTGATGCCTACCAGAGAGTCCAGTCGATGAGTTTACGGTCAATTCGATGCATGATAAAAAAAACTCAACTACGCTTTCACATAAGCGAAGGAATTGACGGAATCATGCGGTAGATCAGGTTCATCACGAAGTATGGTTACGTCCTTTCGTCACGCTCGGAGCCAAGAGGGTGGCCGGGCGTCGCGGTCGCGCGAGCGCGAATACGAGACCAGAAGCTGTGCGCAATAATTTTCAATTACTTATTGTATTACTCTCTATCTCTTAGCCATAAATACAGCCAAGCTGTCAGCATTCCTCGGACGCTGCGCCGCGCGATATTGGGTCAAAACAATGATCAATATTTTATTTCCAGGGAAAACCGCGCGGCAACGAGTCTAAGGACCCCGCAACCGCACTTCCCAAGCTCTTCCTTTCACTAAATTAAAAGCAGACATAGAAGAATCATTCGGGAGGAGAGAAAGGAGAATTAAATAGTGCATACGATACGGTGCGTCATAAACCGCATAACTTCAACCGCGGCAGAGCAAACTCATGGCCCCTCGGGCCGGATGTAATAGAAGAACTTAACCCAGGCTGCTGTGCGGGAGAGGACCGCACATTGGAACGAGTCGATTGAAGAAGTCGGACAAAATTTGGAGACTTCAGAAGTTTATAACTCGATTAACACAAGGCATTGAGATTTTTAAAGAGGTTCCATTGGTTTCCTCGTGAAATTTTATTCTCGGAGCACGTCCCGTAAAATTTAAAATGTGACAAAATA